AAAAMYTWWTAACAGTATATGAAAAGGCTATTATTGATAATATATTGAAAGCTATTACATTGTATATTGACAATATGTAAAAAGCTATTACATTATATGTTGATAACATGCAAAAAAAGTTATATAAAGTTTGCAATCAATAGGCCTCATAARCTTCTTGTAACTTTGWCTTAAACCATAGGTATCAACAGATGGGTGGATGACTTGCAGTATTGTAGAAATCAACACCTTATAAAGAGGMTTTGAAAGCTCTGAATGGGTCACAGAATGGTTGAGGTTAGAAGAGACCACAGTGGGTCATCTGGTCCAACCTCTCTGCTCAAGCAGGATCATACCAGAGCACATGGCATAGGATTGCATCCAGATGGTTCTGGAACATTTCCAGCAAGGGAGACTCCACACCCTCTTTGGGCAACCTGTTCCAGTGCTCGGTCACTGCACAGTAAAGTTCTTCCTCATGTTCAGGTGGAACTTCCTGAGCATCTGTTTCTGCCTGCTGCTGTGCTGGGCACCCCTGGGCAGAGCATCTGGTGGTCATGCTCTGATCCCTCCCTGCGGACACTGACAGACATAGATGAGGTTCCCTCTCAGTCATCTCTTCTCATGGCTAAACAGGTTCAGCTCTGTCAGCCTCTCCTCAGAAGAGAGATGCTCTGCTGGACCCACTCCAAAATTGCTTACTCTAAGATTATTGCTTACTCCAGGATTATTCCTTACTCTGTTTCTCTCCTGTCACCAGGGTACATCTCCACACCAGCTGTCTCTCGGCTGACACCTGATGAGGTGATTCGGATGCGTAATGAGCTCTTCACCAAAGAGAAAGAGAGACAGTTGTCTCTTCACCCACGGATTGAGAAAATTGAAGTGAAATACACTGGGAAGTCGAACCCTGGCAGTGTGTTTGTCATGAAYAAGGCTCTGTCCACACCATACAACTGTGCGATGCGTAAGTGGATGTACTGCTGACCTAGCCCCTCGTGGTGAATGTTGTGCTGCCCATTGAAGTAGGAACTGAGTTAATTTTTGGAGGCTTTTTTAACAGTTCATCCTTCCAAGTCATTTACAAATGTGAAATTTGCAGTTTGTTGTTAGAAATGCAGTAGTCTGAGCTGCTTAGCCTGAGAAATGTAGTTAGTAACTATAATACTTCAGGGGTTTTTTTACTTTCTTTAGATTTAAGTGAATGGCATTGTAAGAAATCTGTTTTGGCTCTTGTGGATGGTGAAATCTGGGACATGTACAGACCCTTGACCAAATCATGTGAAATTCAGTTTCTTACCTTCAAAGATGAAGATCCAGAGGAAGTAAACAAGGTAAGTCAGTATCTTATTCCATTGTAAGTGGTCATGGTTCTCTGTACCTTGTCTCATTGCAGGTGTCCCTGATTATGACCACTTGATTCTGTGTGCACCTTTCAGTTCCATTCCTGTCTGCTTTCTTAAACTCTGTTGTCATTAACTTTCAGATATTTTTAATGTGTTTTTAATGGTGCATTGTGGCTATCATTAGCCAGCATGTGGGCTAGGTGATGTGTTGGCATTTCTTTCAGTTGTTGTATTGTTCTATGATTTGAGATTTAAATATGTCCAGGGTTATATCTGACTTGCATTCTAAGTGCAGTCTTGATTTTTTAAAATTTGCTTCTGTTTGGAGAATCATCTCTGAATAGAWGTTTAAATCTAAGAAAAGTAATCATAGAATCATGGAAAAGCTTRGGTTGAAAGGGACATTAAAAGCTCATCCAGTTCCACCCTCCACCATGGGCAGGGATGCCTTCCACTCGACCAGGTTGCTCATAGCCCTTGTTCAWCCTGGCCTTGAACACTTCCAGGGATGGAATGCTTGGATTGGCAGTTAGGTTTGTGCATCATCTGGTTAAATTTTGGGGKTTKTTTTTGGAATAATTAGCYTTTAGGCAATAAATCCATGTTYTGRAATTCTCTTTGCAGGCRTATTGGCGTTCCTGTGCCATGATCATGGCATGTGTRCTAAAACGAGCGTTCAAGGATGAATACTCAGTCAACCTAGTTAAAGCTCCAGCAGTGCCAGGTGATAGAAGTGTTTTATATTGATTGTCTTTTGCTGATTCTTAAGGGAGTGTTTAATAACTAAACTTAGAAAAAAATCAGAGGCTCCTTTACCAATGATTGATGGTACTTATCATTGATATGTGTATTAGATGCTGTAGTGGTTGGCTTTAATTTATARCAATCACACTAAAAACAATTTTGTTATCAATGTTCAGAAAATTGGTCTGTGTGGCCACTGGGTTTCAGACCACTTAGGATTTCATGGCTGAAATTAGTAATTAAACCTCTGTATTGTGAAGTGACATGAGCAAGGTTTCTAGATGTGATGTGATGTGATGTGTTTCTGTGGAATTTGCTCTAAAAACTACATAACCTTGTTCAGCACTTGAGTTACTAAAAATGACAATGTTTATACCAAATTAAAATATGATTGAGGTACTAACAAATAAGAACTTTTGCCCATCTGTGACCTGATTTAAGATTCAGAAAAATGAGAAAATGCATAAGAGAGGAAGTTGCTTCATTAAATGCATAATTCTGCATTTAATATATGCAAAGGTTGGTTGCTGATCATGTGGAGTGCTGTAATTGCTTCTCTTTCTAGCAGTTTCAGCATTTGTTGTGATTGGTAAGTACAGGTAAATATTTCAGTTGTACCAGAATTTGGAATAWTCTTGGGTATACTTAGCTATATCATTATATTGTATGTATAGAAATAGTATGAACTTTTTGGGTTCATAGATTTGATTTCTAAATAACCTTAGCTGAATATACACAAARAAGTGTTCTAACAACTATCAGAGAAATTTGAGTTGCCTTTGCTAGAAATTTTTGCCATGCTTATGTCATGGATAAACATTTTACTTCAGCTCTAATACTGTCTGATACTTCTATGCAATAAATTGCTCTTTRTAATGTAATAGTTATATTTATTGTATGAGGCATACAGTGAAAGAACTGTGAARTATTTTTAAAGTGAGTGGTTTTATTTTTTTTTCTGCAGTGTTAGATGCAGTTTTGTGAAGCAGTGTATTTTTCCCCTCTTTACCAGGGTTCTGTTATACTAACACTGCATTAAAACTCATTTCAAATTACTTTCTCATTCAGCGAAATGTAATTAAAGTGACACAAGTTCAAGCTGCCATTTTACTGTTTAATCAGAGCTGAAAACTTCTGTTTTATGTTGAATTTCTAGAGATAATTCTGGTTTTGTTTTTATTCATTTTGCTGTAAGAATATAATATGACTGTGATACATACTTTGTTACAAACATGAATATTTTTCTCTTTGGATTGGAATTKCAGTGATCTCTGGAGCTTTCTGTTACGATGTAGTTTTGGACAATAAACTGAATGACTGGAAACCAACAAATGTAAGCACTTTCCTTGCCCCAAAAGTTGTATAGCTTGTGTCCTTGTCCAGTTGTTCTTTTTTGATGGGGGAGAATGGATAGAGCTTTATTTCCATTTTCGTTAGTGCACATCAGGAGTGCTCTTTGGGAGCTGATCTCTGCATTTATCACACACTGATTCTATGGCAGGGTGCTCTCAGAGTTCCTTTCAGATGACACTAAACCCTGARCTGTCTTCCACGTGCATACAGGCTTTAGGTCTGTGGGGCTAGAGAAAATTCTAGTCTGAACTACAATTTCAGAAACAGTTGATGGGGYTGTTGGGACTAGAGCTCTGCTGCTCCTCAGCTGCTCTTGCTTGATAATGTAGATGCAGCCACAATCTTTGTGTGAGTAGAGCCTCTGAAAATGAAAGTGTGTGTAAGACGTGTATTTTCTGGTGGGTTACAGCAGAATCAGTTTGTGGTTGAATAAAAAGTGTGAACAAATTCAGCTGCAGCTCTCCTTAATAGCTTGCTTGCATTTCATGCTCTGTAGTAAATCTAATAATCTGAACACTCTAAATCTTAGAATCATTTGTAATCACCACTGTTTTACCTTTCTGGTGCCCAYTCTTGTTCTAGTGCCCAAAAATCAGCAGAGGGGTTTATGGCTAGCAAAGCAATATTGGTATAATGCAGGATTTTTCTTCAATATGATCTTGTAGCTGAAGTAATTTAGTTAGAAATATTTTCTRCATGGCATTTTAAATGTCATTTCTTCTCATAACGATTTCTTATTTACTAGTAAATTTGAGTTATGCAGAACTTCAGATTCTTGTCCAAGGTGACCAATTCTTGTTTATTAAATATTTAGTACCTTTTTTTTCTCTTTGATCTATCACAATAGAACTTATTTGTAAGTGAAGGCACCACTCTGGGAAACAAGATATATAGATGAGTATTTAACAGAAGCAAGACTGTGTGTAGTACCATGTAGGGACTACCAGGACTGTTTTACTCTAGTTAATATATTTTGTTTCCAATGGAAAAATGCCTACTGATTTGACTGGGCATTGAATCTGTCCATTAAAACAGGATGTTCTGGTGCAGTCCTATTGTAAGACAGTCCTACAGCAAAATTCCTKTATTTAGGGTTTATAGTAGATGAACTTTGTTGGTTTGACTAATACTTAGTGTTTGCAATGCTTCATCTGTTCACTACAGTTGTGAAAATGGTTACAATTTTTATGTCCTCTTGTTTAGGACAATTTCCGTTCTCTTACAAGGGATGCCAAAAAGCTAATCCATCAAGACCTGCCCTTTGAAACTCTGCATGTTGAAGCAAAAGTAGCACGTGAAATGTTTCAGCATAACATGTGAGTATCTGAATTTGCCTTTCTTTCAAAAAGGCAATTAGAAAAKAATTTAAATCTCTGTTTGGTTTTATAAACCTAAAATAAGATGTGACAGGTAAAGTAAGAAGGTACTTCTCCCACTGCTCTGAGTGAGCCTGTCTCCATTCTTTTTTCCACCAACTTAGCCACAATAACTTACTTAGTTATTGTTCTTCTCTCCAGAGACCAATACCAGGCACCTTGACTGGATGTAGTTTTGTGACAAACTGAAAAAGACTTTTTTTGTTAACTAGTGAGCTTCATGATTCCAGTACTATTTAATGAAACTGTGGTGGTGAGCCTTGGCATGGTAGTGACTCTTAGCCTTTGCTGAAAGGCTTCCATATTTAAAGAAATRTACATTTTTCATGTCCTGGTATCTTCAAATGAAGATTTGATGAAATGCAGTTTTTGAGCTCTCCAGGGGAAATTGGGTAAAATACTTTGGTCTGTGTTATTAAAAAAGGTTTGTTCAAAACCTACTGTTTTCTTCGCTGAAAGAAATACCTTAACAGTGTTTTGGGAAAAAATTCCCTGGTCCACAGCTTTTTAGCAGTTGGAGAGATGTAGGTGGAAAAAGATAAATTATAGTTTTCTGAACCAAAAGTAAACTGTGATGAAGCTTAAGTTGCAAAATAGCAAGTTTTTAGCTTTGTGCTGAAGGTGATTTTAATGTGACATGGATCATCGTCTCCAATTGTTGGCTGCACTGACAGCAGGTGGRAGCTGACTTTTGATGGTACCTTTAGATAGTGTGTGTATCTGGAGCACAGAAAACACTTSACTGCATTGCAGGTGACCAGCTGTTGAGGGCTGCACATTGCATAAAATCAATTTAGGCGGTCTGATGGTATCTTCTAGTCTTACATATGAGTTCAAAAACTCTTATTTGTTTTAGTAGGTTCATTGTATCTTTCTGAATAAAATACTGAGGAAGCATRGCCGTCCTATAACATATGCACATAATAGTGCACATGTTATAGGAGGGATAGGAATCCATATAGGAATGGATGTTCCAATAGGAAGGGACCTACAACAGCCATCTGGTTCAGCTGCCTGACCAGTGTGGAGCTGACAAGTAACAGCAAATTATTAAAGGCATTGCCCAGATGCCTCTTAATAAGTGACATGCTAGGGGCACCAATCACCTCTCTGAGAAGCCTGTTCAGTGTTTGAGCACCATCTCCTAAGGAAATGCTTCCTMGTGTGCAGTCAGAACTGCCCCCCAGCACAGCATTGAACCATTCCCAAACATCCTGTATCAGGATCCCATGTTGACTGTGCCTGATGATTGCATTATTTTTAAAGGGCCTTTCAGTAGTACTCAGTATGATCTCCACAGTTTTTCCATGAGCTGAGGTTAACTAATAGGTCTGTTATGAAACATGTCAGTATGTGTTGTCATTAGGAATTTAAACCAATCTCAAAACTCACATAAACACAGTCTTGATTTTTAGGATTTTGAAATTAATGAAATTTATTTCTGAGTGATGTATGTAGTATGAAGAACTAGGTGCTAAAGGTGAGGTTTTCTTAAAATAATTTCTTTTTTCTTGTCCAGATACAAAATGGAGATGATAGAAAGAAAAGCTTCTCAGAATATGGAAGGAATTGTAATGTTACATAGGTGAGCAAAGCTGATCTCCCATTCTGTAATGATGCACTGAAATGTTTGACTATATTGCAASTATTCTCTGCAAGTGAGAAGAGCAAGTTACTTTTGATGGCTTTAAATTTAAAGATCACTTGTATTCATTGCCGCCTCTTAAGTTGTCTTAAGTTGCTTTGGGTGGTTTGTTTGCTTTGTTTTTTTTTTTTAATGCAACCATTATTTTGTGATACTTTGTGATACTACATTTTTGTTTCTTGTTATGTGTCAGAGAAGTCTTAATGCTTTCAGTGCTTTTGCATGAAAACTAAATAAATCTGTAGAGCTTGACAGGTTAAATAAAATACAAGCCAAATACTTCTTTGGAAACAGGACTAGCATTGTATAATGGATTTTTCTTCTTAAGTTCACTAGATCTATCTAACTGGCAAGGTACTGCTTTGTAGTGGTGRAGATGAGACTAGAACAGCCTCCTGGGATACAATGTAAGACATAGAGTTCTTAGTCTGGAGGCAGGAAGCTTGTTTTGTTATGTCACACAATTAAAAGAATTTCTCTCTAGCTTAGGCTGTTGTAGGATACTCAGTTTTCTAGACGTATAAAGAGTTCCTCATTTGTTTTTGTGATTGACATCTATCTAAAGGAACTGATGCCTTTGCAGTGATGATTCTTGAAATTTTAGAACAATATTGTGTTATTCTTTCCTTCCTCCCACTTGGTTTGCTCAATAAGGGGGAAAACTTAGGCTTACCTATTGGTTTCTGGGAGAGGTTTGTTCTGAGTATTTATTTGCTATACTATGCTGTCTCCCACTTTTCTTAATTGATTCATACTTTTTCAAGAACTGAAAGGAAAATAACTGTGTGAGTTGTAAACACAGTACTGGRGAAAATAGATCATCTTGGAGACAAATCTTGTTTTGTGGTGAATGACAGTTAGCCCAGTTTCAGAGCCAACATGGCATCAAAGATTTTTTAAACCTTTAAGATCCTTTCCTAGACTTGAGGTTTAAATTTCCTAAGTTCGTTAAAGGAAATTGCGTGACCTGTACTTTTGGTTTAAGAAACTTAGAATTGTTGAGCTGGGAATTCATTTAGATTGGTTTGGTACTTGTGTGGATTTTCTTTCTGTTGACTGGAATTTGCTAATCAAAAATACAACCTAATCTTCTACTTTTCTCAGAATATATTTGACATATAGGCTGGGGTTTTTTCCTCCCCACAGGTTTGGTGACTTTGTAGATGTTAGTGARGGTCCTCATATTCCAAGGACAAGTTTCTGTTTCCAATATGARATAACGGCAGCCCATAATATTCAGACTGACCAGTCTGGAATGATAAGGAGGTTCCAGGGTGTGTCCTTGCCARTCCATTTGAAGGTGAGTAATCCATTGTGCACAGGTTTTCCTTCTTAAAGTTAGAGCATTTTGCCTATGTTCCCATCTTTGTTAAGTGCTGTGCTGGTAGCCAAACAGAATTCAGAGTTGAGAGCAGTAGAAAGGGAGGGCCCCTGATGATGACTGTGTTGGATATTTGGGGTTCATTTTACTGAAACTGTTGTGGATGTGCATTCAGAACTAGAAAAGTTTGCATCAAAGGGCCCTTGATGTTATTTTTCAGTATGGAAGATGTTGTTTCGGTTGTGTAATTTCTGCATGGATATGTCATTCTGCTTGCCTAAGTTGTTCATTCCAGTCTTCTGAAATCAAGGCTGCGGACAGTGCTTAGCAGAACAGAACTTTGTATTTATACTCATGATAAATATGCCATTCAAAGAAYTTAATGACACCAAAGTAAAATATAACAAAAACAACAACAAATTCTAGCTCTCATGAGTCTTAAACAAAGGCTTTGCACAACTGAAGATGGAGGCAGAAGTCTTTATTCCCATTCCTGTTGACTTACATGATTTTGACCTTGTAGTCTAGCACATGTGCTATTGTTTTAGTTGGGGAASTTTTCAAGGGTTCCTCAGCTCATCTCTGCATTCCTTTCCTAAGCATAATTCCCATTTTTGCCAATTAACCTCTCATGGATTCCACACAGTGGATGAATTGTYGAACCATAGAATGGTTTGGGTTAGAAGGGGCCTTAAAATTCATSTAGTTCCAATTCTCCTTCCATGGGYAGGAGCACCTTCCACTAGTTGCTTAGAGGTCCATCCAACCTGGCCTTGAACWCTTCCAGGGATAGGGCATGTGATGGGCAGACATTATTCAAGTCCCCCAAAGAAATATGGGCAAATTGGACATTGAAATTGTAAGCTGTGGCATTTGAACTGGGTATTATTATGGTTTTGTGACATCAGTTGTATACATTTATCAGAATCTATTCTATGATAAGATTATTTTTTACCTGCTAAAATTGTTTTTTATACTGCTAACATAATTTAATGATRTTTCACACAGGCTCACCACACTGTGTGGAACAAACTGCTGGAAAGATCAAAGAAGCTGGTAAGTCTCATAGTGTGAAGTACAGGTTACCAAAGTACAAAGGTATGCTCTGATAGAGGACAATTTGAATGATTAGAGGTAGGTAGTATACTCAAGAACATMTCTTCAGGAATGGTAATATTCACAGGTGAACAGAAATAAGAAATCTTAACTTCTTGTTTGGTAGAGGACATGGTAGCACTGTTTCTGAGATCTATTTTTAAAATGCATTGTGACTTCTAAAAAATCCATATACTATTTGATTGGTATGATTTGTACAAATAAAAAATATTTAAGATAAAATGGAACTATAAAATATTATAAGCCACAAAGAACTGAATAACTACCAGCAAGATATGTTTAAACATAGGAAGTCTTTGTAAGTATTAAACAGCAGCTTTTTTAGAGCCTTCAGATTRAAAAATTACTTGTTTGGCAAGAGACAGAAAAAAAGTACTTTATGTCTTCTGAAASTTGTTAATCAAGGATGTGTTTGAAGTCTGCCCTATGGTATCTTTCCTGAACTTAGTTTGGATATTCTWACCCTTCAGGTTGTTTTAATTTTGGAGAAGATAATTGTCTTTGTAGGTTGTCCTTTCTTKTTACAGTGACAGTGTGAGGGGAGGATTGTCAGGATCAAGGAAAGTGAAATAATTTTTTAAAATATAACAAAATTGGTATCTTTCTCCAGGTCACTGAAGAAGAATATGTGAAAGAAGCAGCAGAATGTCTTGAGGCAAAAGATGGAATTGAAGAAGGAAAAACAGTTAGCAATTTAAATTAAATTGAACCTCTAAATGTACATAAATAAAATTTGTATTTTTACGTGACTTGTTTGTGCCTCATACAAAATGTCTTGGGTAATTATTTTGAAGTCTGTGACCTAAATCATAGATAGACACAGGTACACATGAGATGTTTCAGTCCACTTTAAAGATTTCCTTAAAGAAAAAAAGGGGTGGGGAGAGGGAAGATAAAGTTTTATCTGCAATAACTTGCAAGTTTTCCCTGTCTTTAGCTCGACAGTAGTATTCATGTGTGTCCATCCATATGTTGTTACCTACTGCTTCTGCAAGTTGAGACATAATATCTTTAAAAATACCCTTAAAGGTATGTAAAGGTGTAAATGASATTGCTTTACCAATGCAAAAATAGCAGAAAGGAAAAGCCAGAAAGTTCTTGGAGTTGAATGATTTCTTTCTGCTGCACAAGTGCAGTTAAAGATCCTTTTCCAGAATAATACCAAGAATGTAGTTCATTACTTGCATCCCCAGTGTAATAAGATTTATTATGCATTTTCTTTCCTTGATATTTAAATATGGTGACTTCAATTAAATTTCACAAGGGGTTTTTATTCGATGATGTTTTCTGACGTTTTGTGTTTTCATCCCTAACTCATTAGAGCTGTACTCATTATACTGGAGGAGATTTTTATTAGTTTTTGAAGTGCAAATATTTTCTCTGTATTTTACCCCAATTATTATTTTTACCATTAACTGCATCACTTGATTTCTGATCAGTTGACACAGTTTTTTGAGAGCAGGGAGAGTAGTTCAGTAAAATACATTTAGGTATAACCCAGGTCTTCTCAGGACACTTGAAAAACTGGTATTTTTTCCCCTCTTGATTAATGTTGCAGAGGACTTWTTATAATGGTATCAGATGCTTATTTTTTTGGATAAGATTGTTGATTCAAAGTTTATCTTCAAAGTACACACAAACATTTACACTATATTCACATTTACACTTTATTCATTTACACCCTATTCTATATATTTTCATTAAATCTAAATTGCTGGAGTATGTTTTGTCTTTGAACCTGTTATTCTGGTGCTATTGAAAAAGCAAGCATTGGTTCTTGTCTTGAGAAGCGCAAAAATTTGCTGTTTGTAATTTCTGAGTTTTGGTTGTGTTTTTATTTTTAGTTTTGCTTGTTTGTTTTTTGTTTGTTTTTTTAATGCAATACTTGCCATCTCTGATTAACACAAGACTGATGAAATTTTGCAATCTGAATTTTGGGATCCAATCCGTGTGTTTTTGTTTTGAATCTTAAGCTTGTTCTATTATAACCCACAGAATCTCCTTATGTCTACTCTCTATTTTGGGTATCCAGATCAGGATTCCTTCTGGATTCCACTACTTTAGAGGAAGGTGAGAGTGCTGCTATCGCTTAGGAATATACCTTTTTTAACCTTAGGTGGAATGTCAGAGCTTTTCTGCTATGTTCTTTTTTGTTGGGAGKGGRTGGGAGKTTTTTTGTTTGTTTGTTTTTCTTTTGGGGTTTGGGTTTTTTTGGTTGGTTGGCTTTTTTCAGTTTGGTTTTTGGGGTTTTTTTGGTGGYGGAGGGAACTCGGGTTTTATAGTGTGCAGTACAAAGGGTATTTTGAAAGGCATATAACTGGACTGAAAAGTGTGGAGAGGGAATTTCCCTTTTCTGACCTTTGCTGGATCTGTGACCAGCAAGTGGGTGTAGGACTGGCAAGAGGGGAATTTACAGCAGAGCATGGGGAACTGACAGAACTCGGGAGGAGCAGGGAAGGCCCCACAGGTGAAACCCCACAGAAGGGAGTTTTGTAGGTGCGGGACTACAATACTGAAAATACTGTTGTGTTGAGGTCTTTAGCAGACCCTTCCTTGGAGGTCTGTGCATAAAAAGGTGTAAGCTCAAACCTCAAACCTCAGCGCCAAACCTTGGCGCTGTCTCACACCTTGACTTTCATGGGCTCCAGAAGGCAAGTCTTCCTTAGGGAGAGATGTAGCTGGAGGATGCCTTTGAAAAGCACCAGGATTCTCACAGAGGACAGTAGCAGTAAAGAGAACTGGGCGAGTGTTCATTTCTTTCTCACCACAGCACATTAGGAATGTAGATTCAAATCTATTCTGCCAAAATAGGATTCAGAGCCACATATGCAGAGGRAGACATTTGTGTTTTTTTGCAGGGAATGGCTCATAAGGCACTTGGAGTACTCCCTGTCTGTATTAAGTGATGGCATTGGTAGAAAAGTCCTGAACATTTCCTGGATGAGYRTGAGAACAAATGGAAGAAAGGCTWAGTGCCCATGGCAGCSTRTMTTGGGTTGATTTTATGATAACGCTATATTCCTATGTTTTGTTGGCTTGTATGTCCCAAAATGTACCTGTGGCTTTAAGCCAGGTCCGGAAGGAGGGGCAGAGGGGCAGCCGAAAGGCAGGGCAGACAGTTGAGGCCCAGGAGGGGCAGAGGGGCAGCCGAAAGGCAGACGGGCGGTTCAAGCAGGGCTGCTGCCTGCTGGGGGAACTCAGCTGGCCGCGTGCAAGGCAGTTTCATTTGTTGCCTCTTAGCTAGCATGGGGTTTGTTGTTCGCTTGGGCAAGAAGTTTTCCCTGGACTGCAGTAGCCATCTTCAGCGGTTCCTGTGAATTTTGGAACAGTTTGTCTGGCTTTGATCTCAGAACCACATCGTCAGGTGCTGACCAGTCCGGGACTGGCGGGAAGCCGAGGGGCCGCTCCATCTCAGCCCCGGATTCTGGAGGAGCCAAGCCGGCGAGAGAAAGCAAACCAAGCCCACCTRCTTCATCTACTGTGAAAAGAGGACTAATACCAGAGGTTTCACCAGGTTCCCATTGTTTGCTCGAGCGGCTGCATGGACTTTCTTATGTTTCTCTTCCCTGGGACAAGAGCTGTGCTGCCTTCCTCTGCACCAGGTGCCCAGCGGCTGTGGGGGTGGAGCGGCGTGAGTTTCTGGGTTTTAAATATCTAACAGTTATTCATTTTTTCCCCCGTGTCCTGTGAGCACCTTGTTTTGTTAAATAAACGATTTTTTTCTTCACTTTCACCCAGACATCTGTCTGGTATTGGTGGGAAAAAACTACCAAACATTTCACTTYMGAGAAAAYGTTYGTTCCATAACATTTTTCTCTGAARAAGTTGTCYCAAACTGAGACACAGCCACAGAGCAACAAGGAGATACACCCTGCACTCAGGGCCATTTCTCTATTTTACCATTGATGGTTAGTGTGTAAAATGCTGAAAATGKCTGCTGTGAGGGCTGTTGCAGCAGCTAAGTTAAAGTAATYCTTCCTTTCTCTTTTGGSCTAGGTTTTCTGAASGTCARSTGAACTGCAGGGTGGTACCAGCCCRRCTGGCTGCTTGGGACTGTGCTCTGACACACACCTGTAACTCTCATTGTATACCAAACCTGAAAGCTGTGGAGTTATATAAAATACCAAAATGAGTATGGCAAAGCTGTGACTGGGTGTGGATTCTGGATGTTCATGCACTGTCCTTCCAACCCTGGTGCCTGGCACAATCTTYTCCATTGGAAGAAGTTAGAAGACACAATCATCAAGCAGTTAAAAAAGACAAGAAATTAGATGCTGTTGTTTTCTATACTGAACACTATGGAAAACTGCAGGGATTGGGGGTGGATAGATGGGCAAAACCACTGCAGAATGTAGCCAATTCCCCCTTCTTGGCCGTTTCTTTTTATTCAATTCCTTTCTGGATGTAGAGAGGCAATTTTTACTCAGCAAAAGAGCTGCAGAGCCAGATAAGATAAAGGAAGAATCTARGAAGACACAATGCTGCAAAGTGGARAAAGGGGAGGGCAGGATCACTTAGGCYAACATACACGAGCAGAAGACTATACTTGCCATATTCTGATAAGGAATAAATCAGAATTTTTTTATGGGCCAAGTGGTGCAACATTGGAAGATGTTGTTCGGAGAACTTTTAAGTTCCTCAGCTTTGGAAATGTTCAAGGTCAGATTGGATGGGGCTTGGTGCAGCCTTGTCTAGTGRAAGGTGTTCTTTCCCATGGCCAGGGGTATTGGAACAAGACGATCTTTAAGGTCCCTTCGGACCCAACTCATTCCAGGATTTTATGATGACAAGGGGAAAGYCAGGAACTGAAGCCTTCTTCCTTGTTGCACATCTCAGTGGTAGATCCATGGCTTCTCACAATCAGGTTGTCCTTCTGCATCTTGTTTGAAAGAGTTGGAACTTTTGATTCTTCCCTTTTGTTTACTGGTTTTATCCAAAAAAAGGAAACTGATTAAGGTTAAAGCTATGTGGTGTCTTGATTAAGAGGTGGCCGTAGGAAGGTTGAGCAGTTCCAGCTGACAAATATGACCAACTGAGAAACTTGTTTCCAAAGAAATATTTTGTATTTCATGGAATMATGGATTTTAGAGATAGAAAAGACAATTAGGATGTAGTCTGACATTTCATAACTGAAGGAATTCAATGCCAAGAAAGAGTTGTTTTTTTCTCACCATGGCAATAAAGCTCTTCCCTGGGAAATTGAACACATGCACATGATGAAAAYGCTCAATCATCAGTAGACATCAAGTCCTTTCATGACAGCAGCTATAACGAATTTCTGCTTTAACCTCTGGCAAAGAGTAGTAATCTCTTACTGCTTTTGGGTAACTTATCTAGCACTATGCCACTCAGTGTGATATTTTGTTAYTTTTGAAGCCAGTGAACTTGCTACATTTATTTTATTAGTATTTATGAGACTCAGATGCAGGAATTTGGCAGCGTAGAGAGCTTCTATGGGAAGAGTTGGCAGTGGATATTTCTTGAAGAACACCAAACATCTGAATATGGTAATGYTGTCATGATGTGGTTTTTCATGAGACTTAACCCCAGTCATGGACAGCATTAACATTTTTTCAGAGTAAAAAGCAAACCTATTAGTATCTGCTAATATAACCCACAACCTGTGTCTGCTTTTCTGGGGAATCAGCTATGCAGAAAGAATACATACAATTAGTCTAATATTGGACCATATTTATAATTGCTGTCTATTTCTTAAGTTTGCAAATTACTCAACTTACATTTTAAAGAGAGAAAATAAAATGAAGAGGAAACAAGTATTTAATTTTTATGGCATGACTTAGAGAATCAGGATGGTGAAGAGAAAGCTCTTTTTTATTCCTTAAGACACCTTCTATTGGCATACATCTATAGAGGATAGAGGCTCTAGGCTGATCTTTGCTTCAGCAAACCGATACTGCTGGTCATTGCCTCAAATAGACAGGGAAATTGAACAGCTTCAGTTTCACTCAAATGAAATTTTCTCTCAGCTCTCCCCTCTTTTGCCACAATTTTCTTCCCATTTTAAAAGCCATTTTCCCTGGAATGTTAATGGGAATATGCTTTTCCTTATCAAAATATGCTGCAACACTTCAAGAATTCCCTCTCAGAGATACAGCTCTGACTTTGGAAGGGATGAAGGTGGCTTTTCCTTTTTGGTGGTTAGGCTTCCCCAGCTGYATTCATCCTGGGGAAGCCACTGAACTTACAGGCTGATTTAGAAAACATTTATGGCCTGCAGCAGTTCTGTCTGAGTGTAAAAACCACATTCAGTGAGACTTTGTATCGGACACTTCTTAATGAGACCGTTGATTTATAAGTATCTGTGGTCTCGAGTGCTCTGTGATCGTTCCTTGTGCTGGGGATTCACAGGTTGAACACTAACACAAAGAGGTGTTCGTATTGATACAGCACAAATCTTAAACTTATTTCTTAATCAATGGTGAGTACTTGGAGTTTTTTAGTTTCTCCTCTTGTCCCATCAAATTAATGTTTTGTAGCTAAAGTATTTTTAAGTAGATTTGAATAGAGGATAAGAGAGCATTTTAAAGACTGGCATTCTCATTCAGGTTTTGTGACTGTGACTATTCAAGAACTAATTTGACCTTCCACAAAATAAATGTAACAATACTGTCCTGTTTCTCTTCAATTTTCTAAGATTTCTAAAAGTTTGAAATGTACTAGTAATCTGAAAGTAAGTTAAAGATATTTTCATTTTCTTCTAATGACCCTTTGACCCAAATCTCATAAAGAACTGACAATGGAATATCAATGAAATATTTTCTGTCAGTTTTTCTCTTACATATAATAAAATTTTATAGAAATGAATAGAATTCACAGTTGTATATGCCAAAAGTTTAATTCATTATTTTTCTTTCAAAAAACAAGAAGCAATGAAATATTTGTGTAGGAAGTTAAGCCAAAAGAGCTAAAAAGTGTTAACACAAAGTAAAAACCAAGTTGTGCTCAAAATATTA